AATTCTGAACAATTTTTACAAAAATAAGGATGCTCTTCTTCACATTCCCCAAAGGCATAAAGAAGACAATGATTCAATCATGGAGTATGTTGAAGTAGTCCATTACCTATAACCTTTATTTCACTATCCAGACCAGGTTTTAAATGGCATTTCAATAAATCTATTTTGTTGGTCAAATTATTTTTTTCTGCTAAATGTAATTCTGAACTATTAATTAATTTAGTTAATGAATCAAAGACTTGGTAACCATAAAATCCCATGTTATACATAAACCACCTAAATCCTCCTTATATCTAAATTGACCATCTAATCTACACACAAAACCTTTCTTTTTAATCCATTGGGATATTCTTCATGATATTTTTCCCACATATCACTTTTAGTTGATCTTAAATAATAAATTGGTTTTCTGGTATGAGCTCATAGTAACATTATTTTTGTCATTTAAAAATGTATCAAGATCTTTTAATTGGTCAGTAGAAAACCTTTCTCTATTTATTTTGATATGATTTTCTAAAATTTGTCCACCTTTTCCATATAAACATGCATGAATTCTAGCAGCATTTATTAAATTATTGCTAAGCTTAAGTTCTTCATTTAATTTTATGTAAAATCTCCTACAATTATTGATAAAAGTCTTTATTATTATTTATTGAATCTTCAAAACATGATCAAAAGGTTTTTACTTGTGTTTCAAGTTCCAAATTTTTATTTAGTGTTGATTCTAGTTCTAGTTCCATTTCTGGTTTTGGTTCTGATTCTGGATTGATTTCAGAAAAAAAGCTGCAATATTTCTAAGTCAGCTGCAGTGTCATCAGCTTTGGACCAATACTCATTGTTTTTATCAACTGTTATTGTTTTGCATCCAGATGCATTCAATAACTGTCTTCAAGCTCTTGTTTTTCTTAAAAAATTTTCATCTGAATTTGAATCATTTTTTTCAATAATTTTAAATTTGTATAATAAATTATAAAATTCAAACAAAGTTGATTTTTTTTTATGCAAATGATTTAAAACCAACATTGTAAGGTCTTTACCATTGAAGTGTATCGTGTATGTTTGGTGAAGCTTCTCAAAAATAGTTGAACTCCATTGATGTAAATTAACTTCAAATTTTCTTAATATTAGCTCATCAATTTTTTGTTTTAATTCTATGTTTTCTAACAGAAATAATTGACTACCAGTGAACATATTGAAAACTCCAATTGATTTCCACAACTCATTCACATCAGAACTTTGATATTCTTCTAGTTTTTCCCCAGTTTTTGTTGAATAAAAATTAACATGAAATACTTTTTTATTATAAAATTGGGTAAACAAAATAGTTTCATGCCTATATTTTTCTACAAATGTGATATGGTAACCATCTCATGGCTCTATTTTATTGTGTGAAGCATCAACTACAAACATTTTAAATTGTTTTCTTGAACATAAAATGGAATAAAAGTTATATCTGCAGATATTCTTTTTAGATGATCTTCATTATTCATTCCAAAATAATCTGGGCCACTTAATTTTGTACTATTAGAGCATCCTATTTTTTCTTTAAGACATTTTTGATAAATATTTGTAACTGTTGTTGTCATGTTTTCTGAAATTTCATTGACATCTCCAACAAAGCAACAATATCCAGGTTTGTTATTTTTTCCTTTAGTGATAGAAGTATAAAATTCTATATCATTCTTAACATGGTGCATTTTTAAATGCAACCTAATAGGATAAAGTTTTTGTGTTCTTGTGGATTTTTTGTTATACCACCAATATGATGCAAATGGACCATAATGTAGATTGCTCATAATAGTTACAAGGTCAAGAAGAGTTGAGTTAGTTAAATTAGGCATTTTAAGGTGATAATTTAATTATTGTTATTATTTAAGAAATTTTTATGTATAACTTTATGAAATTTTTTTAGAAACAGTAGACTAAATGCTTAGCTATTTATATAAAAAAAAATTGATTCAAAAATTCAAAACCTATGAAAATTTTAAAACTCATCTAAATTCAAACTCATTTCATGCATTGAATTTAAAACTTGTGTCAAAGTTCAAACTTGTATTGAATTTAAAACTTGTGTCAAAGTTCAAACTTGTATTGAATTCAAACTTGTGTTAAATTCAAAACCTGTATTAAT